GGTGTATGATGTAAAATGAAAAAAGAGTCAACAATGGTGTATTTCCAAAGAATCCTCAGAATACTTCAAACTTAGCTATGTACRCTTTATAAGGAGAAGAAAGGAAGTAACAAACATGGTCACTACGTTAGACTAGCTAAAAATTATATGTAAAATGTAAAAAAAACCCATTTATATTAAAGATGTTAAATTTGACTTAATGAGAGTTAGAGTAGGCACAAAAAGAAATGTTAAAAAAAAAACCTTAAACCCAAACCAAAAAAGATCAGATAATGTGTGATAAACTTTGCCTTCTTAGTGTATAGGCAGCAGAAATGGTGGCTTTGGCTCATGATTATTAGTGTTATACAAATGTGGAAAAAATCTGTAGATTAATAAAATATTAAGAGATTGAGCTGAAAGTCTTGTTGGTGTCAGCARTGAGCTATAAGGAGTAAAAGAGTGGAGCATAGGTAAAATAAGAYATTCAGAAGACTGAACCAGAGGCCCTGATTCTCCTCTGGCACCATTTCTTTTGCTGTAGCCACTTGACAGATCTTGAGGAGATTAATCATGATTTCCACAGCAAATGAAGGCTGTAGCTAACAGTGAATGTGTGTAAAATGCAGGCAGTGCTAAAACTGAAAGAGAACAAAAAGCATTTGTAGAAAGCAAACTGGAGAGTACCCTGTCTGGGGAAAAACAAGCCAGGAGCAAAATCTGTGGTGTATGTGGAGAGAGAAACAAGGAAATAATATTTCATATGTTTTTGGTTTTTTAGGAAGGCTGCACTAGGAACTGGGCAATCTGTCCCAGGGACCTCATCAGAGTGTACATATGCACAGTCTCAGAGACTTCTGCAAAGAGAAATGCCTGTTGTGCTTGAGGGACAGACTGCTCTGGATGACTGAAAGAGGTAAATGAGCGTAGCGGGGCTGAGAGATGACTAGAGTACAATAAAAAGCTGCTTCTATTTGCAGGATAAGCAGTAAGGAAAATAGAAATATTTAGGGTTACAGAAAGAAGGCTATTTTGATAAAAGTAGCACCCAGATGGACCATGAGAGAACCACTCTTGCRATGAGATCCATTGGATTGTCAGCGGTGTGAAAACAAAGCTGCAGAGTCTGGACCTTAGGAATTTTAGCTGTCAATCAGCTGAGCATCACTGATCTGGGAGCTGACTTGGGCTCCCAGTAGATCACTGTCAAGATGTGCATATCAGCTTCCTATGGAGGATACCCAAATTCATCTCTTTTTTTTATGGAAGATTACCTTCCTTTTCTACTCCAGAGGTAAGAAAATACTTTGTTWTCTTATATGAATAGCCATGGTGATAAATTATCACTGAAAATCCTAGGTACCATTTGCAATTTCATTAAACACTTGCTTAGAAGGCTGTTTAGCTGTTACTGCTTTCAATATGAGACAGTAACAAAAGGTGTAATTACATTTACAGACAAAGCACAATCAACACATCTTGTATAGCCTTTGCTGATGATTCCAGCAGCAGAATGTGGCTGCTTGTATAAGAATGGAGAAGTTCTGAAAACCTAAAAAACTGATTCCACCTCCTGTGTRCTGAGTTCCAGATGACAGTATTTCATGCCTATGTAGTTTCCTGAAATCCAAAGAAGTCAAAGTCCTCTACAGGGTGTTATGTGCACACACCCAGAAATGCAGTTACTGGGTAGCAGTGGGTGGGTGGCAGCTGCTGGCACACCAAGTGGGTTTGCCTGTGCAGAGAAGGGATGACAGAGGGAGCTGTAATAATTACGGGAGGTTTCGGTACACAGGTTAAGGTCTGGTGAACAGAAGAGGATCTGTGCTGCAGCCTTTGCATTGCACTGGCAAACAGCTTAAGGGCAGAATCTCATGTAAGGACACAGCAAATGTTAAGGGCAAAGTGCAGTTGTGAGATACAGTACATGCTCACTGTAAATGGCACTGCTGAGGTCTAATCCTTGTACGACTTTACAGAGAATGACTGAAGTCTGTGATTATAAATATCAACAACTCCATGGGCAATTAGGTCATGTATGGGGACATGTAGGCCTTGAAATGGTTTTCT